TTTCTGTGTTGCGTGCACGCATCCATCTATTTGGTGGCCGCTGTGGAAGGTGAGATCTTTTTCATTGACCAGAGCCTTGACTGCTGTGAAGATCGGGCTCAGAGGTGTAGGTAGACAGAGGAAAAGCTAGGGTCCACAACCTGAAGGTGATAAGAGGAGAAAAATGAGAGGCGTCCACTCGGCAACAGGAGACCCTGGCTGCCCTGACTTCCCCTAGAGAATGTCCAGAGGAATTTCAGGAGGCCTCGTCTCGTCCCTCCCCCCAAAATATCTTCTTTAGTGATTGGTTCTAGAAGCTTCTGGGAATCTTCCCAGAGGCAGAGGCTAAGACAGCAACCAGCTCTGCAGTCCTGTACTGGGTTTCTTCTGGCAAGGAGGTCTCAGAAAGACCCACTGCGCCCCACTCAGAAGGGCGCCAGTATTCGGTAATGTCATAGCTTCCCTCCACCAACAGCAAGAAAACCATCAGGACCCCACTGAGCTGGACTGATCGTGTGAGCACCACCCTCCTCCTCCAGGGCTAAAGCGTGGCTGTGGGGTGAGAAATACCAGCCTAAAGCAGCAAAGCTCCCAGGCGGGAGAAAAAGTGAGGCCAAGGGGCTTGGACAAAGGATAAACCGTGCTTGTGGAAAACCAGTTACGTCTTGACTTTCAAAAGACTGGGTCAGTCAAGAACCGTTTTCTAGAATCCAAACAAATAGAGAAGTATTTTCTTGGCATTTGATAACATCATGCTCTGGCTGTAAAATCTGAGGACATGTTTGCTATTGCAACATTATTTTTAATGAGCTGTTACTGGCCTGTCCCGCAGTTAGTATTGCCAACAGTAAAAGGCATCACTCTGTTTGCAGGTAACACAAGGAACAACATATTTTGACCCCGATATTCTGTTTATTTTTCATTTACGACACATGCCCTCGTTTTTATTCCAAACCAGAGGAAAATAAAGGCAGATCTATCTTCAGTGGGGTCCAGGCTAAAATTTTGCCACAAATACGTACACCAGTTTATTTGGGGCCAGTTTTCCATCAACAGAAAACGATAGCGGTGTTTCAGCCACAGTAGAATCAATTGTGTCGATTGAGTCGGAGGAGCTTGGCAACACAGTAGGAGAAATGAGAACGCAGACAGGCGCTCCCCAGTGGTTGTGTCCTGCTTTTGTGGTAATGCTGGCTGAATTCTTCTCTTCCTTGCGGTTCCTCAGACCCCCACTTCTGGCTCCCCAGCACCAAAGAGGCACTGCCAGGAATGTAATCAGGACAGGGACACACACACACACACACACACACACACACACACACACACCACAGAACTTGAAGGCAGGCAGCCACGCTGAGTTGGCAAGGGACCCCTGAACACCTACTTCCCTCGCAGACCAGTTCTTGCAAGAGGTCTTGGAAAGCCTTGTCTCTGGCTGAGGACCAAGGGTGCAGTGGCTTGAGGAAAGCATTAACCAGGACAAGTGGCTACTCTTGAGGCAGCTTTGGGCAGTGATGGACACAGAAAGACTGGCTGGCAAGGTTGCAGCAGACTGTAATTGCACCTCCCTCAGCCAGTGGCACATGCCTTCTGCACTGGGTATCTGGAATTCTCCCAGCTCAGCTGAAACCTCCTGGTCTGAGTAGTAGCCCCGACTCCATCCCAAGACTGCTAGGTTTACTGAATCTACCTCCAGACTCAGCCGAACTCCAAGTTTTGCCCTTTCTTCTTTCCTCTAACACCCCAGGGGACAACCACAGCCACCACAATCTCATCTAGACATTTAAAGGATGCTTGACCCAACAGCTCTTGAAGGAAGCATGGCTTGGGGAAAGAAGGCAAGCTTCAGCCTTTTCTGGAGAAAAATACCATCTGTCTTTAAGTTCAGTGCTGTCGTTTTGTTCAATTTTGCAAGCTAGATAAACCTAGGTCTTTATACCCTTCTCTCCCTCAACCTTCTTTGCTCGAAGGAGGGCCTCTCAAGCAGTAGAAGGTACACCACTGAAAGAATGCCCTTGGTCCCGAACAAAGCCGCCTCTGTCTCCTCTATGGGCCGGATTCTAGGGCCCCGAGTCCAGGTCAGGAGAGAGCACAGAGGCAGACAGAGACAGAGGCAAGAAGAGCTTCCCTGGACACCTGCTCTGGGGGCCTGGGGGGGGCGCATCCAAAGTTACACACTCTGGCAACGTGAAAGACTTATTTTTTTCTTTTTAATCAATCGATTCCACAACAACATTAAGTGTAACAATAGTTTGTGGAGATTTTTTTGTTTTGTTTTGCTCTGTTTTCTTAAAAAGGGACGGAACTCTAGCGGAGGACATGGAGGGAAGGGGGAACAGACCACTCAGAACGACAGAACAACAGGTGTAGCCAACAGGAAATCAGGGCGAGAGGCCCTGTGGAGTTGAGGGTGAATTTTACAAGAAAACTGTACATTTATCAAATAAGTTAAGATTCTCCTATGTTGATTGTCCTTCACTTAAAGCGCTCCACTCTACCTGGCTTACTCCTCTGAGCATCGCTGCCCTACCTTGCTTTCTTCCTCCCCCCTCCCCTACTTAGTCTTCCCTCTCCATTAATGATTATGCTGTGGCATGATGGTCTTCATCCCCACAGAGGAAGGGGCAGGGCTCTAGGGGAACTTTGTACAATATTGCACAGGTCAAAGCACAAGAGTTGCGGCAACGTAAAAACGGGAGAGCATAAAAGGTATTTTTTTTCCTACAAAAAAAAATTTTTTTTGAATCCAATCTCTCAAGCGGGTAACACAGTAGTGACGGTGATGTTAAATGACAATTTTCGGACCAGTGATAGACCACTAAATAAAATGCTAGTGATAAATAAGAGGACAGGAACCCAGCCAGATGTGGAACTGTTCCGAATTCTAAAGGTCTGATTTGGGTCTTTTGTCTTTTGCCTTTAAACGTTTTGGTCAGAGAATTCTTTAGTCAGGAGCTGAGACAAATGTTGTTAACTGCCACAGATTGGCCGACTAGGGATCCTAGCAGAGGCTACTCAGATTTTGAAAAAAAAAAGTGTGCGTGGGGGGGCCAGATAACTGATTGGGGGTGGGGAAAAAAGAACCACACCCAGAAATCCAGAAATAAATATGAATTCTCTCTCCGAATTTTGAAAATAGTTCTATAGAAAATGAATAAACTAAAGGAAGTAGGGTTTTGCGCTTATTTTCCTTCTGTAAAAATACCCCCCCCCTTAAAAAATAGAAATTTAAGGGGAGGTCTGCACGTTTATCAAAAAACTTTCAGTTGGAAGTTTTGACCTGGGAATTTTGTCGCCCTCCCACCCCGTTTTCTCTCAATGGTAAGCAAAACCAAAAATAAGAGGAGAAGCGCCTCAAATTCATAGGAATGAATTGCACGGAAATGCATTGCAAATACTTACAAAATGCTATTGGGGGAGGGGGAAGGCAAGGCAGTGAGCCCAAGCCAGGTTCCCAAGGCCGCTGGCCACAGCTCTGCGCCCTTGGCCCTGCCCAGTCTCCTCCGGGGTCCCCGAAAGGTGGCCGGGTGCTCACTCCCTCTCCCCTCTCCAGTCTCACACCGGCCGTAGCAGCGGCACGGACGAGACCACAGGGTGCGAGTAGTAGACTGGGTGCGGGAAGGTGAGCAGCGGCTGGCTGACCGGCACCGGGGCCCCTGCGGCCGCAGCCGCACCCTCCGCGGCAGAGTTCTCGTGGTAAAGGATGGGCACGCGCACGATGCGCTGCGCCGCGGCGTGGCTCAGGTTGGCGGCCTCCAGCTCGGCCGCCAGCTGTCGCTTCCACTTGTTGCGACGATTCTGGAACCAGATCTTGACCTGCGTCTCGGTGAGGTGAAGCGACGCGGCCAGGCCAGCGCGCTCCGAGCTGCTGAGATAACGTTTCATGTCGAAGGTGGATTCGAGCTGGAAGACCTGGCTGCGCGAGAAGACGGTGCGCGTCTTCTTCTTGCGGCACGCTGGCTTCTTCTCGGGGCTCTCGGCGCCCGCCTTCCAGTCCTCGGAGCCGGGTGTCGCCGCAGTCGCCCCTACAGCTGTCCCGGCCGTGCCCGGCACCGCCTCGCCTTCTTTTTTGCCTTCCTCTGAATCGCTCTCTTCCAGAATGATCTCGTCCGGGCTCTTGGAGTCCAGTTCCTTGTGGTCGGGGTCAGCCTTGAGCAGAGGCTCGGGGGAGTCGCGGTCGGTGCCGGACGCAGGGGAGGAGTCTCGCAGGAGGGCCTTCTCTGAGGCTGCAGAGACAGACAAACAGATGCACACTCAAGAACAGCGAACGACACTATCTTGAGAGAGAAGGGAGTCTGGGGGCAGCAGGTGCAACCCACGCGTTAGCCTTCGGTCGGGCTCCAGATCCTTGGGCCTCAGCTTTCTCGAGGTCCTCCTCTGTCCCCGCTGGGCTACAGCGGGGCACCCAGACCTAGGATTCCCTTGCCTTCCAAGGACCAGCGAGCCGATGATGGCAGCGGGGGCCCTCTCCTTTTATCCCACGTCTCCCATGCCAGGAGCCAACGGAAAAAGTATCCGTGGTTAGGGTTTATCCCTGCCTTCCAGGCCTACCCAGGCCATCCCAAGCCACCCATTCCTGCTGGAGGCCACTTTGCCCGAGAAGTGCAGCGCCCGGGCCTCCAACTCCTCCTCTTTTCTCAGCAAGTGGGATTGGAATCCGGGGCCTCCTAACCCGGGAAAGAGGAGGACTAGAGGCCAGAGGAAGTTGACCAAAACTTGGGTTTGCAGGTGTCGGGGCACACCGTAACTGTATTGACAAGCCCGGGGCGGGCATAGGGCCAGCCCGTAGGGGAGCGAGGGGAGAGCGAAAGTTCAAAGAGAGGTCGGTACCTTCTGGTCGCGGGAGGTGGCCGCCGGCGGGGGTCAGGGTGTAGGGGTACCACCAGGCCGGGGAGCGCTCCAGGTAGTGCGCGGGCAGGGCAAACCTCTGCGCTGGGATCTCAAAGCGGGGGAAAGCCAGGTCGCCCACCTGCGAGAGCGCAAAGCCGGCGGCACCCTCCAGGGCACCCTTGGCTGCGGCG